TCAGATATAGCATTTAAATCAAACAGTCGACCAGTTAAATTTTCTAGGTTATCAATAAAGTTCGCTCCATGCTTAATGAATTTGACACACTCTGATTTGGCACACTCTTATACTAGTATTTAGCAAACTAGTACACTGATATTTGGCACACTGATATTTGGCACACTCTGATATTTGGCGAACTCTAACATGGTATCGTCTCGGCAGATATGGTGATCTGCAGAGAATCATCGCGGAGACGCACGCGGCGTGCCCGGACATCAGCAGGGTGTACAACATCGGGCGGAGTGTGCAGGGCAGGAACCTCACAGTCATCGTGTTCTCTGACAACCCGGATATCCACGAGCCAGGTGAGAGATCGCCAAGACATGATGGTTCAATTTTGAGGATGTTTAACTTATCAGCTTTTAGAGAAATAGAACGATCGTCGTACGAACGCAAACTGAAGTCATTCATGGGATAGTCGTGGCCAAGCATAGAAATAAAGGTTCGGGGAACATACCTCACATCTCAAATTTTGTTTAGTACGTCTATCAAATGACACAAGTCTTACCAATTCTATTTTCTTGACCATTTGTTTTGCTTTGGTTTGGTTTGATTTTATTTGATTTGTTGGTAAATTTAAAACAGAAACTCAAATCTGAAGTGAGATTTTCTTAAAGTGAGCCATATTTCAAAGCATCTAACAATTTAAGTCACGTAGACTAAAATGACTCCAGACTCATTACGTTACGAATGGTTTACTTGACCTTTTATCCGGCCAAGCTTTGCTGACTTTGACTAAGGTTTACACGAGACCGTATGGGGTCCGGAAATTAAAGCTAAGAGAAGCCATACCGAGATTATGGAGTGCCGAATGAAAGTTTACATTGAAGTCAGTCTGTGACGTAAATGTTTAACTTGGTCTGGACGAGGTGTATAACCGGAGGATACATGCAGACTGGAGTTAACCTGGTTCCAGATTTAATTCATATCACTAGTGTCTCTCTCTTCCCAAACACACACTTGCTATATATAATGAAATGAAATGAAATGAAATGAAATGAAATGAAATGAAATGAAATACCTTTATTGTACATTCATGCCACGTCGGGCTAGGTACAGGTCAAGATACTGAGTATGACAGACACATAACAAACGTATATAGAAAATTGGAGACAAAAGATGCACTACTTGACTTAGACATACATACATAAGGAACATACAAGGGTACTATACTAGGCTAATACATAGTGTTCTAGTCACTGAGCTAATACAGACAGGTCAACTTCTTGTCGCTTTTTTGTACAGTGAAAAATGTGGGAGCAGATCATGTTTGTGATACAGGGTTTGTCTAGACGCATCAAAAATATAAATTTATCATTTGCGCTTAGGTGTTCAAAGTATGGGAACTTCTCTTTGATATAATTAAAAAGGACAGATCTTTCATTAGAATATAAAGTACAGTCTAAAATAAAGTGTTGTTCATCTTCTATTCTATTCATGTTACAGTATTGACAGAGTCTGTTCTGGAGAGGAATGCGGTTGTGCCGTCCCGTTTCTATGAGTAATTTGTGGCAACTTATTCGGAGTTTTGTTGCAGCTATCCTGTGTTGTATGTTGTTAACCGATAGGTACTCTTCTTCTTTATATATAGTTTTAAACAAACGGTACGTTCGTAACTTGTTACTAGAAGATGTACCTCTGTTAT